TGCTCCCCCTGCCCTCTCTGCTCTGAGTGAGATCAGGTTCATCTCCATCCCTCCTGCTGCCCTGCACGGGCTGTGTAAGAGCCCAACAATTCCAGGTTTAATTCAGCCCTGGGAGRGCACAGAAATCTCAAGGTTTGGCTGCTCAGCAGCTCTGAGTGCTGCCTTTGGGATTCTTTGTGCTGTAATATCACCTGGATAAATCTGTGCAGGGAACAATTGCCAGCACTCCATTTCAGTCACCCGCAGGCCCCGGTGCAGGCAGGGAGCCCGTGTCAGAGCGGGGTCACAAACACACCCCACTGCAGCCAGAGCTGCTCCTGCTGGGCTTATCTCACCCTCAACACGGAGAGCAGAGCTGTCTGAAGTGTTTGTGAGCCTGGCAGATCTCCTTCCTGGCTGAAATCAGCTCTCTCTAGGGATGCAGTGGCTCTGGAAAGCCCATGGCAGAGGGGAGAGGAGGATACACAGAAACCTCTCCATATCCTCTGTTCCTACGGGGCCATCCTGAGTGATCCCCTCCTCCACTGGGGGACAAAACTGAGGCACAGCACCGAGCCTGCCCCACGCTGGGCTTGAGAACAGATGGAAAATGGAAATAGAGGTGACAGAAGAACCAAGAAGACAAAGCTTTTGTTGCACAGGGAAGCACGGGTTCAGGAGCTGGGTGTGACAGCATGCTCTGCATCCATGCAAGGCTGGGGAGCAGCCGAGGCAGGAAAGGGGTGCTGGACCAGGAGCACAGCACAGGTGAGGTGTGGCAGTGCTTTACTCAGGGCTGGGGAAGGGATGGGCTGGGGTACATCAGATCCACAACAGCTCAGCACAGCCCAGTGCCACCCCTGCTCCCTGGACACTGGGCTGGGACCGTTGGCCAAATCCCTCTGAAATGACAGCTTTTCTCCAGACAGAAGTGACAGTGAATCTGTGTCACRGAGCATCAGCTGGAGCCGCTGGGCTCGGCCTGGGCTGCAGGACAGACCCTGCACAGCACGGTGTCCCCGTGCTGTCCCCTGTGAGCAGAGGGCACTCAGCAGACTCTGCTCTGCCCTCCGCTCAGCCCTGGAGGCACAGCAACCTACAAGAGTGTTTTTGACAGTTTTCTTGCTCACATCTTGTCTTCAAAATGGTTTAGCCAGGAGATGCCTCTTTCTGGATAATATGACAGCTAATTCCCACTTACCYGACTGAAAAGAAACAAYRGAAATAGATGCAGCAATAAAACTAATGGCTAATGTGATTGTTATTGATCGTTTGCCAGTTCATCAAATGAATGGCCCAAGAGCTGAATGGGGAAAGCAAACAGTGGCACAGACTGCCCCGGGTCAGGGGRAGCTGSAAAYCCACGGGGAGATGACCAGCACCACKTTGTTATCACCACACGAATCCTCAGACATCTGGGCACTCTCACCTACCTTTTCAGCTGACTGGGCAGTGCCAAAAAATATTGGAATGAAGGCAAGCCATACTATACAGGTAGTGTACATAGTGAATCCAATGGGTTTGGCTTCGTTAAAATTCTCTGGGACCCCCCGAGTCTTGATGGCATACACAGTGCACGTCACCATGAGCAGAATGCTATAACCCAAGGAACAAATGATTTGTAGATCCGTAATGTCACATTTGAGAACTCCTCTGGCCTGATCGGGGTTCATAGTTTTCTGCTCATCATAATCTATGATGATGTTGGGCGGGTCAACCGCGAACCAAACGAAGACGCCCAGCAGCTGGACGGAGATGAGGCTGGAGGTGATGGCCAGCTGCGAGGTGGGGCTGATCAGCCGGGGCGCCGTCACCGACTTCTTGCCCTGCTCGAAGATGCGGTAGATGCGGTTGGTCTTGGTCAGCAGYGCCGCGTAGCTGATGCACATGCCCAGCCCCAGGAAGATCCTGCGGAAGGAGCACACGGCCACGTCGGGCTTGGCGATCATCAGGAAGGTGATGATGTAGCACAGGAAGATGCCCGTCAGCAGCACGTAGCTGAGCTCGCGGCCCGAGGCGCGCACGATGGGCGTGTCGTTGTAGCGGATGAAGGTGGCCATGACGAAGATGGTGGCGATGATCCCCAGCATGGCCAGGAAGACGGGGATGACGGCCCAGGGCGAGTGCCACTCCAGCTTGATGATGGGGATGGAGCGGCAGCCGGTGCGGTTCTCGTTGGGCCGCTCGTTGTAGGAGCAGAGCAGGCAGGTGACCTCGTCGGCCTGGTACTGGTAGCCGTCACACAGCTCRCAGTGCCAGCAGCACGGCATCCCCTTCACCATCTTCTTCCTCTCGCCCGGCCGGCACGGCTGGCTGCACACCGAGGGGGGCACGGAGCGCACGCCCCCGCCCCACTGCATCTCCTCCACCTGTGGGATGGGACACAGACACCGTGGGGTTAGGGATGGGTTAGGACTGGGTTAGGGATGGGTTAGGGATGAGTTAGAACTGGCTGCACACCGAGGGGGGCACAGAGCGCACGCCCCCGCCCCACTGCATCTCCTCCACCTGTGGGATGGGACAGAGACACCACGGGGTCAGGGATGGGTCAGAGCTGGGTTAGGGATGGGTTAGGGTTAGGGTTGGGTTAGGACTGGCTGCACACCGAGGGGGGCACGGAGCGCACGCCCCCGCCCCACTGCATCTCCTCCACCTGTGGGATGGGACAGGGACAGAGACATGGTGGGGTTAGGAATGGGTTAGGGTGGGTTAGGGATGGGTTAGGGATGGGTTAGGGCTGGGTTAGGGTGGGTTAGGGATGGGTTAGAGCTGGCTGCACACCGAGGGGGCACAGCACACACTCCACCCCACTGCATCTCCTCCAGCTGTGGGACAGGGACACAAACAGGCTCTGGTTTAGGTGTGGCTGCTGCAGATGTGAGCTGGGAGTGAAAGCAGGGGGATCTGGGGGCACCCTGACACAAAACCCAACTGGATAAACATGACACACCCTATAACCTCACCCTGGTGCCTCTGTGTGGGACTCTGTGCCTGCTCACTGCCCCCACTTTYCATTTCTATTCACGGTTCACTCTGRTGGAATGACACACAGCCCCAGATAAAGCAGGAGAGTGAAAACCTGTTGTGTCATGAAAATTAATCAGAACACTGCAATGCTTGAGGGAAGGCAGGACTTACATTTGCAAAGCTGCTTTCCACGAACCTGGGGGCTCCTTACCGAGACAGAACTGAGATCTCCCTTCCTGGAACTGCTGCTAACCAGGGGAAGGGATGACATGAGGTGGAAATGTGTTTTTTATAGGGCATGGGATCAGTGAGAATGTGGGAGGGTCTGCCATATGAACCAGGTAAGRAATATGAAGGACAAAGAAAATGGTCATCACAGAAAACTGCAATAATTAGATAATATTTCATTTCAAAGTCACATTCAGCTTTTGAAATACCACATGTGCTTCTGGGAATGCAAATGATAAATGATGATATTAAAYATACGAAAAGTCTCACTTGCTCTGCAGTCTGGAGAATCCTGAACTCCAAGGTATGTGACAAAGGCTCCCAAGTACTGTGGAAAATTACATTCACAAATCATTCCCAAATATGCCAGACTAAAGGCACTCAGCAGGTTCCAAGAACAAGGAAGGGAGGTTTAGCACTGAAATAATCCAGAWGGGAAGCCTGGGACAGTCCTGGCATTCCCAGCACCAGTTCCCAGCTCAGCTGCTCCAGAAAAGGTGTGTGCCTTTTCCAAACATAAAACCTGATCCCCTGGGACAGATGTGAATGATATTAAAAGTAAAATTGCAGCTTTTTTGCTTTCAATCACTTACATGCTGACATACTCCATGATTTTCCCTACAAGTCAAAATTCTACGATGAGTTTCTTAATCAGCTGCCTTAATTATCCACTAGAAAGGAAGAGTTGGGTGTGCAAGTCTCAAATTGAAGGATTAAGTTACACTTTGCTAATACGTATCTAAATAGATCCTGAATCTTCATTTTATTGATGTGCAAACACCAAACCCTGAAGTCACACACTGCTCCAATGTTGGAGTAACAAGAATCTCTCTGTGAAMGCCATAAAAAYAATCCCTCGAGAGCAGATATTYGAGAGGTCTGCCACTGCCTGGGAAACTTCATTAACCTTCAACAYCCTGGAAAAGAGAAAAGATCCCTGCTCTCCTTTTTCCTGCTCTGCTGAGTGAAGGTGTGCAGCTGGCAGGAGGCAGAGGTGCGCTGATGATAAAGGAAATACCTTTATCCTTAATTGCACTGATAAATGTGCTTTGGACTCACTGGCGGTGCAAGGAGCCAGGAAATGCATTCCGTGCCTGTTGTGGGTTAAAACAGTGCCTGACTCTATCCCTGCTGCAGCACAGGATCAGGAGGAGAACAGGAGAACAGGAGAACAGGAGAACAGGAGAACAGGAGAACAGGAGAACAGGAGAACATTCTCCTCTCTCACAGGAGGAAAACAGTGAGAAGGGGCAGAGGAACCCAGAGCACCCCAGGGACAGGGGGTGACCCCACAGAGCCAGGACAGGGCACTGAGGACACCAGGGGTGACCCTGCTGACCAGGAAAGGTGGGAGAAGGTCACAGCAATGCCTTAGGGAAGGAACTGACACTGCTGCTCCTTTTACTCTCCTTAACCCTGATCTGTGTCCCTTTTCAGACCCAGGGCAGTGTGGCTTAGCTGAATTTCACAGCTCGCTCTCCACGCCTCCAGCCAGCCCAGAGCCTGCATTTCTGCCCTGATCCTCACCCACAGCCAGACCACGATGCCTTTTTGCAGCAAACCAGACCACACACCCAACCACACTGTTCTCACCCAGYGAGAACATTTCACTGCAGCAATGAAATGATTTTCACCAATTTTCCACCRTATCTTCAGAGGCACAGACTGATTCATGTGTTATCATATCCCTGCTTCCCTCGTGGCTACCAGAGGATGAATTTCCATATTTTCAGACGTATTCCATGGCACTGCTGGTACCTAGGACAGCCCAAAGGCACACAGAGCCTTGGTGGGATGAGATAAACAGAAGATCAGGCAGAATTAAGGGGAGTCCTTTTCCTGCCTCCTGGGACGACACCACAGGAGCTCAGCACCAGCCCTGGACAGATTTGCAGTGTTCTGCTGTTTCTGAGAAAATTYAGAATAAAAAATGCCTGTGAGGGAATGCTGGGCACCAACACCTGCAGCAGGGGGTGAGAGCCTGACTCAAACTACACTTTCCCCACTCAGAAAAAAAGATTTTTGAAAGAAAACTTGTCCCACGTGTGCACATCATTTACATTCCTCCAAGGAGTAGCTGAAAATGCCTATCACAGCCTACAAAGCAGGAAGCAAAATATGCAATGGAAATGCTCTTGCAATTAATACAGAAATTGGGGGGTTTCTGTAGAGCTTTCCATTTCAATCCAGTATGGAACAAGCACACAGAGCGATAAGGGAATTCATTTTTCCCAAAGCCATACCCATTCCAGAGGCAGCCAGACATTGCACCCACAGTGAATTTCCCACTTTGAKCTCCACCCTTGGCCAGGGCAGTGCCCAGGGGCACCAGGAGCCCCTTCCCTGCCCTTCTGGCACTTTGGGAATGATGTTCCCCCAGCTCCCACCATGAACGCCTCGAGCACTGCATTTACTCACAGAATACAATCTCATTATGTTCACTATAGAACAAACATTAACCAGAAATGCTCAGWCTGTCTCATAAGGCCCAATGTAATTGTTCATTTTAATGAATAAAGTAACTCAATATCTGTGTATAATTCAAACATTGCTGCTTTGCTTCCCTCCGCCACAAACATTTCCATAATAAGCCATTTGTTCTCAACTTAATTGTTTCGTGCAATGTTTGATTAAAATAARAATCAGTACAAAAATAATTACATTAACGGTAATTAACCTACTCAGGGAAGAAAATAGCCACGTTCCCAGATCCCAGTTCCATAATGATGGTGCCATTAATTTCATGGACACACAGAAGCCAGCCTGGGCTCAGATTTATTGCCACCTCCAGACTGCAGCTCCTAACTCAGCACTTCCAGCATTTGTGCATATTCCACTTTGCAGACAGCAATATTTGCATGACTTAGCTCTTTAGGCTCAGCTATTAATGTCTTGTAATTAGTTTTTAAATCCAGGGATTTACCGTGATAATGGTTTTAAGCTAAGAAWGTGTCAATAACACATCCTCAGCAGAGTCTTCTGCAAAATATCAACTGAAATCCTTTCCAGAGATAACAGTGATGATAAACCCGAGTGGCAGAGTGGATGCAGAGCAGTGCCCAGACACGATTTCAGCTCACCCTGGAGCTGCTGTGAACATCCCTGGCTGCAGGGATTGTCAGGGCAGGGGTGGGAAGCACCAACCAAGGATCACGGTGCCTCTCCTGGTCCACAGTTATCACCAGAGCAYCTCTGCTGGCACCCCAGTGCCCCTGGAGCATCCCAACCCAGCCCCGAGCTCTGCAGCTCAGCCCAGCTCTCTGTCCTCCTCCTCCTCCTCGCTGTGACCCCAATCTCCACAGTGAAATGCAGCACCAGCCCYGAGAGCTCAGCCCTGGGCTCTCCTGACCCCACAGAGGCTGCAGAGTGCTTTGGGGTTCTGAGGACACTTCAACAGAAAACTGCTTTAGAGGAAAAGCAAAACCTGTGAGAATTTCCCTGCTCTGCTGCRTTGATTTCCTTGAATCCCTCCAACACACAAACCCCAGTTTAATGTCATCACAGACATTTTGTGCTGCTTTCTCCTSCTGCTGCCTGCCCAGTTCCTGTGCTCCTGGCACAGCAGCCACGAAGCCTTGTCCTTAAACACACACAGATCACAACCTCCTATTGAAAATGATAGGAACTCATCCCTTCCCCAAGGCTCCCAGCCAGAGAACACCGGCAATGTTCACAGTCAGCAAAACCCCAAATGTCAAACCATGCTGACGACATTCCTGCAGCGCCAGCCCCTCACCTTCCCACCTGCTGATTCAATCCTGATTAATGAGGAGAGAGCCCCAGGATCAGTCTGAGCCAGGGAAGGCTCTCGTTAGAGCTGTGACAGCTCCTGGAAAGGGCTGGCGTGGGCAGGGAGTCTGTGCTGGCAGAACTGGAACTGTGTGGGGAATCATCTCCTGAGGCTGCTGAGGGCAGGGGAGCAGCTCCCACAGCCACAGGGGTGTGGGCAGGGCAGGGAGAGCCTGG